ACTGAAAGTGGGACAGTCTATACCTGAGACGCTCTCAGGTATAGCCGGCAGGAGCTTGATCCAACTGAAAAAAAAGGTGCGCTTGCCTTCTTTGCGGTTTTTGGTTTGTTACAAGACCCCCTGCAGAATACACTCATGACACGTCATGACAGTATTTTGCATCTAGTCTTGTTAGGCTCGAGGGCAGGTGAATCTTCCTTTCCCTGCCCCACCCTCCCGGAAATTCACCTGGCAGGTGGGACGCTTCCCAGATCAGGTGGGCCTGCGACGCTCGTGGGACGGGGACAGTCTATACCTGAGACGCTCTCAGGTATAGCCGGCAGGAGCTTGATCCAACTGAAAAAACAGGTGCGCTTGCCTTCTTTGCGGTTTTTGGTTTGTTACAAGACCCCCTGCAGAATTATACTGTAAATATGGAAGTGCTTGCACGAGAAGATTGAAAGTGTAGTGGTCTGACGTGGCCAAAACGGCTCAAAGGATTGAATTTGTCTGATGCCATGAAAATCGAAGGGCTCATCCTGGCCTGCCTTTGTCAATTGGTCCAGGTGGGTCTCAAGGAGAGCTTTCGAGCCTCTAGCGATCTTTTGCCATCAGCTTCAGTATCTTCAACCAGCTGCATTTGTGAGTGTCATTGCCATCCTGCTCACCTTATCTTTGAGTCAACCACGCGCAAGACTTTTGGAATTCTCCTTTGCTCCTTTGTCCTTGGCTGGCTCTCGTCCTATCGATTTCGTTTGATCCCGACTGTGGAGCCCAGCCCACGAAGAAAAGGACATGGAATCCTTACTGCAGATAGTGCCTGGCCAGACGTTGGCCGTCTTCTACGAAGATGACACAGTCTGGCACGAAAGGATTGCCATATGGCGCCAGGAGGATGGTGTCTGGATGGTGCTCACCCCTGACGACGACAGCTACGTAGAAGACCTGAGAGGTGTGGACTTCAATGGAGGAGATGGGCCTTGTCTTCCGCCAGAAGCCAACGGATGACGAATTCAAGACCTTGGTGAAGGACTCCTTTCGTGATTTGTCACGAAGTGAAGGTTTTGACCAGGCATGGAGACCCCCAACCGTCATGGACATGAAGGGTGTCTCTCATCCTACAGCCTCATTTTTAGGAAACTTGCTGCCCTTGAGAAGAATCACTCGAAAAGGTGGTGGGGTGCTCGAAGGAGAAGTCCTCGAGGCAGAGGATTTAGAGGAAGCGCAGGTGAAGTTCAAGGACAGTGTTCAGAGAGCAGCCTTGCCACCAGCAGGGAAGGAATGGACATGTATGGAAGACAAGCCTCCTTTTCAACGAGGAGAGGTTGCGACCATTGACCCCAGCAAGGATGTGATGGTAGAAGACATGGCTTTTGTGAAGATGGACGCCGGTTGGCTTTTTTTGTCGTCTCATGGACGAGTCTTCCCGCGACGGTCTGCTCAAAAGCTTGGGCAGCAGTGACTTTACCCCACAAGACCTGAAAGGAAAGGAGGAGCCGACAGACGAGCGCCCGGATGCCCGAACCCTCTTCGTCGACTTTGACGAGCAAGGTGTGCGCCTCAAGGACTGGAGGAAGTTTGCGCAGGAGACTACTCCTACCCTGACTGGCCGCGTGAAGGCCCCAGCACCGTGATGCACAAGTTCGGGGGCGATCCTCGGCAGTGTCTTCAGCTTTGGGCAAGACAGAAGGGGATCTATGAGACCGACCGGGTGATGCATGAGCTTCGCTGCCTGACAGATTCTTTTTACTATGGTGGCACTTTTGACCAGCTGAACCTCCCAGTTTTAGCCAGCACGGAGGTCCTCGCCAGGCGAATTCAGTCGATAGTGGAAGCCTACTCTGCCGCCTGACTGGTCCAACTCCAAGCTCTTTTCAGGCTACCAGGGCCCAGAAGATCTGGTGTCGCCTCAGTCGCGGAGTTGGGCAGCTCGACGTGGCAAAGAAGAGGCCGACATTTCCCAAGCCAGAGCCCGCATCCGCGAGCTACGAAAAGGAGGATCTGCTTCAGTGAGTGATGAGGCGGCTTTAGCAGTAGCAGAAGGTTCAGTTCCCTCCGGCGCCAACCCAAAGAAGCGACCAGCCAAGGGCCGTGGTCGCGCCTTGGAGGCGCGGTCAGGCGCATGAGTTCAATGCCGGCTGCGGCGCTACAAGAATGCCACCAGGCCTGCGCTCGCAGAGGAGCATTTTCCCTCTGCCTTTGGTGAATGTTTCTGAGGATGTCTTTTACCACAGCCGCAGACAGTCTCAGAGGCATGGCCGGGCGACTGCATGGAGAGATGAATGAAGCTATTTTGTCTCTGAATTGGATGCAAGGTTTTGGTTTTTCAGCTCCAGTTGCGGGAGATCTCAGCCCGCTCCAAATGGAATGCCTGAATCGAATTCGGGTTTGGCAACTACCGCTAGTGATCTTGGTGACCTGGCGAGAGAGCCAACTCAGGAGGCAGCCTTTAAAGGATTTGCTCCACGGGGAGACGGATTATTTTGAACCTTCTTCCGCAATCTCACTCGCGCCCTACAATCTCAAGCTCATCTCACTGCCTTCTAGTTTGATGGAAGCCGCGCGTGCGATGACACTGTCGGACCAATGGCCAAACAACGAAGCGGACAAGCCAAGAGGCTTCGAGCCTTGGAGCCACCCATTTTCACCGAATGGAGCGCTTGGTCCCAAAGCAGCAGCCACGCCGGCTAAGCTCTCCACAAGTGAAACAACACGTCACTTCCCTGGAGCAACCAGCCAATGTAAGCTGCATCCCACAGCGAAGCAAGAGGTCAACTCACAGCTCCGACTCCAGTTCAGAGACGACAGAAGCCAAGCCGCTGACAAAACAGAAGCTTCTGGTGCGCAGAGGTCGCCGCCGCCTGCGGCTGTATCTGGACGAAATTCTGGAAGCTCAGTCGCAAGGGCTGACTCTTCTGGAGAAAAAGGCCGTCCAGACCAAGACAGAGAAGTACTACTTGGCGGAATTCCACCAGTTCAAAGCATATGCGCAGAAGACCCATCTGAGCCTGTCAAATGCTGCAGGAATGGACCACGCCTTGTGCCAGTACATGACAGCAAAGTTTTTGGAAGGCCATCCCGCCCATCGCGGAGACAAACTGATGGCTGCCGTCTGCCATCTCCATTCCAGTTGTGGGCGCCATGGGTCCAAATCCCTACATCGCGCCAACCGCGCTCTCAAGGGGTGGAGGCGATTGGCACCTGGCCAGAGCCGCAAAGCCTTCCCACTTGCAGTATGGTCAGCGATTTGCGTGGAGATGGTTCGCCAGCAGCAAGTCAGGATGGCGTTGTTCACCATCTTGGGTCTGGCGTCCTATGCCCGGCCATCAGAACTATTATCAGCTTGCAGAGTCTTCTCGCTGGTTCCACCAACTCCTATGCGCATATGCGCAGCAGAACTGGGTCACCCCTCCAAGACGAACGAGTTCGACGACTCTCTCTTGCTGGACACACCATACCTGCTGCCATGGGCACCAACGCTTTTGAAAGAGCTGCGTGCCCAGCCGCGGCGCCAGCCGCTGTGGGACTTCATGTACTCAGATTATTCCCATGTCTTTTCCCAAGCTGCCAAGAGCCTGAACGTGGAAGTGACCCCGTACCACCTTCGTCACTCCGGCCCCTCGATTGACGGAGCCGCAACATCAGGTCGTTGCTGGAAGCGCAGAAGAGAGGTCGGTGGAAGAGTCACAAAAGCGTCACCAGGTACGAGCGAGCTGCGCGCTTGGCGGCCAACTTCCAAGAATTGCCCCTCCGCGTCCAGCGCCACTGCCTTCACGCCGAACAAGCGCTCGGGGATGTGATGCTGGGCCGTATCAGCCCACCAGCGCCACCTTGAGACGCAAGATTGCAGATATGTGGCTGCGGCTGATCTTTTCTCTGGCAGACTCTGGCGCAGGAGGAGTGGCGCATCAAGTGAGACGGCTGGGCTTTTGCGCTAAAGAGTGGGACATTGAGCATGGGAATCGTTTTGATCTGATGAAGCCGACAGTCGTGAAAAGACTTTTGAAAGACATCGCAGCAGGTAGAATTTTGGCCGCGACGCTAAGTCCTCCTGACACTAGTTTTTCAACGGCCCGTGATCGCGCAAAAGTACTCCGGTCAGAGCAGTTCCCTTGGGGTCTCCCTCGGCATCTTCTTTCTGAACATGAATCGCAGAGAGTTATTTTAGGAAACAGCTGGTTTGAGACTTGCTGCAAGGTGATCTCGTGCCTACAGTCGTACCGAGTGCCGTGGATTCTAGAACACCCTGCAAGTTCCACACGCTGGTTCCTTCCACCAATGACACCTCTCCTGGAGCAATGCTTGTTGCTGGAAGTTGATCTTTGCCAATTTGGAGCCCCATGGAAAAAACGGACCAAACTCCTTTGTGGCAACTTCGATTTGCAGGACACAGCTCGCCTGCTTCGTGGCTGCGGCGGCGTTGGAGGCTGGTGCTGTAAAAACAAGGAAACGACATTTTCAACTCACCGGTTTTTCCAGGTCTCATGGGGGCATCCCATGGACCAAAGTTGCTGAACAATACCCTAAAGAACTCAGCAAACAGTTAGCCTTCGTTCTCACAGCACCCTCCCATTGCATCTCTGCCCACCCTGCGAACATTGCCTGATTCGGGGCATGATTTGGGAAGCGGCGACAGTCTGCATGCCTCATTTTTTGATGATGAGTGATGAGATCTATTTTCTTTTGAGACCACGCCAGCTGCGAGAGTTCAAGCTG